ATATATATATATATATATATATATATATATATATATATATATATATATATATATATATATATATATATATATATATATATATATATATATATATATATATATATATATATATATATATATATATATATATATATATATATATATATATATATATATATACACACATATATACACACACACAACAGTAGTACCCATACTTAGCGGTCAATAAAACCCACAGGGTGCCCTGTTAAGTGAAACGTAATGCAACCATCAATAAACTGACCGATCCCCAAACTCCACTTTTTCCAACACAATACCAATGTTCTGGTAAAAATAACATCTTAATTTTATGATGGTACATGCTAATATTACTTAAAGAAATAGATACAGTCGCGAAGTTAATGTCCATTTAATGAATATCCCTCCCCCTCTTCTCACACTACACCTGCTCTTCCTCTCTCTGGAGAAAAACCACTAGAAATTTAATAAATAATACCTCAAACTAAAGTTAGGATAATACAATTGACATTGCTGGATTCCTTGTAAGACCAGGAATATTTTGAATATAAATGTCATATATTTTGCACAAAAGATAACATATTTACTCAGAATAAACATTATATCTAAAATTTGTATGTCTAATGCAAAATCTATGATGTTTATATTCAAAATGGTCACCAAATTGTAAGAATTCCAGCAATATAAATTATATTCTGGCCAGGTAATTTGTATGAATTTTATGAGCTAAAACAAATACCTTCAGTTAATAAAAAAAAAAATATTCTTCACGACACTATCTGTCAATCAAAGTACCCCAACTTGCCTCCCCCCTCTTCCAAGCGCCAGGTGGTCGGTCGGTCCCAACCCTCCCCCCCGCACCCCACCAATCCTCCCTTCAAGAGATGTTGGGTGAAAAAACTAAATTTTAACATTTAGTATTAAATAATACCTCAGATTAAAGTTAGGATAATATAATTGACATTGCTGGATTCCTTGTAAGACCAGGAATATTTTGAATATAAATGTCATATATTTTACACAAAAGATAACATATTTACTCAGAGTAAACATTATATCTAAAATTTGTATGTCTAATGCAAAATCTATGATGTTTATATTCAAAATGATCATCAAATTGTAAGAATTCCAGCAATGTAAATTATATTCTGACTGGGTAATTTGTATGAATTTTATGAGCTAAAACAAATATCTTCAGTTAATAAAAAAAAAAATATTCTTCACATGGTAACAGATGGTCGGTCGGTCCCTTCCTACCCCCCACACCCCACCAACCCTCCCTACCAGATGTGTGGGAAAACCAGAATATTTACCTTTTTAGTAATAAATAATACCTCAAACTAAAGTTAGGATAATATAATTGACATTGCTGGATTCCTTGTAAGACCAGGAATATTTTGAATACAAATGTCATATATTTTGCACAAAAAATAACATATTTACTCAGAGTAAACATTATATCTAAAATTTGTATGTCTAATGCAAAATCTATGATGTTTATATTCAAAATGATCATCAAATTGTAAGAATTCCAGCAATGTAAATTATATTCTGACTGGGTAATTTGTATGAATTTTATGAGCTAAAACAAATATCTTCAGTTAATAAAAAAAAAAATATTCTTCACATGGTAACAGATGGTCGGTGGTCCCTCCCTACCCCCCACACCCCACCAACCCTCCCTACCAGATGTGTGGGAAAACCAGAATATTTACCTTTTTAGTAATGAATAATACCTCAAACTAAAGTTAGGATAATATAATTGACATTGCTGGATTCCTTGTAAGAACAGGAATATTTTGAATACAAATGTCATATATTTTGCACAAAAAATAACATATTTACTCAGAGTAAACATTATATCTAAAATTTGTATGTCTAATGCAAAATATATGATGTTTATATTCAAAATGATCACCAAATTATAAGAATTCCAGCAATGTAAATTATATTCTGGCCGGGTAATTTGTATGAATTTTATGAGCTAAAACAAATATCTTAAGTTAATAAAAAAAAAAAAAATCTTCACGACACTATCTGTCAAACAAAGTACCCCACCTTGCCTCCCCCCTCTTCCAACCGGGCGGTCAGTCCCAACCCTCCCCCCCACCCCCCACCAGGAGAAAGAGTGGGTGAAAAAAATAAATTTTAACATTTTGTATTAAATAATACCTCAGATTAAAGTTAGGATAATATAATTGACATTGCTGGATTCCGTGTAAGACCAGGAATATTTTGAATATAAACGTCATATATTTTGCACAAAAGATAACATACTTACTCAGATTAAACATTTTATCTAAAAATTTTATGTCTAATGCAAAATATATGATGTTTGTATTCAAAATGATCATCAAATTATAAGAATTCCAGCAATGTAAATTATATTCTGACCGGGTAATTTGTATGAATTTTATGAGCTAAAACAAATATCTTCAGTTAATAAAAAAAAAAAATATTCTTCACGGGGTAACATATGGTCGGTCGGTCCCTCCCTCCCCCCCACCCCCCACCAACCGTCCCAAGGAGATGTGTGGGAAAACCAGAATACTTAACTTTTTTGTAATAAATAATACCTCAAACTAAAGTTAGGATAATATAATTGACATTGCTGGATTCCTTGTAAGACCAGGAATATTTTGAATATAAATGTCATATATTTTGCACAAAAGATAACATAGTTACCCAGAGAAAAAATGTTATCTAAAATTTGTATGTCTAATGCAAAATATATGATGTTTATATTCAAAATGATCACCAAATTATAAGAATTCCAGCAATGTAAATTATATTCTGGCCGGGTAATTTGTATGAATTTTATGAGCTAAAACAGGCAGTCAGGCAGGGTGGGGCAAATCTAAAAATAGCGTCTCGAGCCGGACACTCACGCGTATATGTGGAAAAAATCCGTGTTAAGTGAAAGTTCAGCTCTGGCGAGGCACCGCGTATATGATAAAACGCGTTAAGTGAAACCGCGTTAAATGAGGGTATATATATATATATATATATATATATATATATATATATATATATATATATATATATATATATATATATATATATATATATATATATATATATATATATATATATATATATATATATATATATATATATATATATATATATATATATATATATATATATATATATATATATATATATATATATATATATATATATATATATCATTTAACGAACACCTCGGTTAACGTAATTTTGATTAACGAACTGCCTTCCATAAGGATCTTCAATTCGGTTAACGAAAAAAAATTCGGTTAACGAAGTTCTTACGAACCGACCTCAACATGTTTTCGCTTGCACTGACCGGGCAACCAGCTTTAGTATCAGTCCGCCAATACATTAATCGGTTCTAGGGCTTAAATTCCTTACTATTTTAGTAAATATCAAGAAGTTTATACTATTCAATAATTTTAAAAGTTTAATATTCAATTTTTTAGTCATTTTAACAATTATTGAACATAATTGAAGGTAAAGTGACTAGTTTAATGCGCGGCATCCAGCCTCTTAACACAGCAAACAGGAGTTAGTCTCTCTCTGTTTTCACTGGAGGTAACATCTTGCTTGAGACTCTCTTCAACTAAACGCTTTTTTTCTGTGTTTCCAAGCAAATTATTGGTCATTTTGAAATATATTTTACATATTGACAATATATAATGCAGTGCAGTGTTGATTTAAAGAAAATAATCTTGAATTACACCAAGAGAGCTAAAATTTTATGGGTGAAATGGCGCCATGGGGTGACTTCTCTTCCACCCCAATGCCTTCTCTTTTTCCTTCTCCTCCACCCCCATTCTAAATCCCATCATCATCATCATCATCCAGGAGCCTTCTACATACACACCTCAAAGTAAGTGAACTTTTCTACCATTTTTGTTGAATTTAGGAAATTTTCGGTGAGCTGGAACCAATTACCCAAAAACCCATTGAAACAATGGTTTCGGTTAATGAACTTTTCGGTTAACGAACGACCTTCTGGAACGGATTGAGTTCGTTAACGGAGGGGTCACTGTATATACATACAGTCAACCCTCACTTTACGTGGTTAATTCAACCCACAGGGTACCGCGGAAAGTGAGAAACGCGTAAAGTGAACAACATAACATATGGGTTTAATTGAAATAGAGACCGGGCCAACCCCCAAACTCCACTTTTTGACGACACACAACTATGTTGTAGTAAAAATATTATCTTAACTTTATGATGGTATGCACACACAATTAATAATTAAGAGAAATATCAATAATATTAGGTTTTTTAACACTTACATTAGTAGAAAAGATGGCTGGGCACACGGGGATGGGCGGTTGGTTCCGAGGCAGAGGGCAGATTATTGGCCCTCACCTGTATCACTTGTATCAATTGTATCACTATCCACCACGGAGGCTTGCAGGGCCTCTTTGTCAAACCCCTCAAAGTCCATATAAGTCCATATCCTCACTATAAATATCACTATCACTGACTTGGGCCGGCTGTAGTGGGTGGCGGGTGAAGAACTCGGTAATGTTTTGATGACTGGGCGACCTTGTGCGCACCCTGGTTTCGCCGCTTACACAACATGGCGGATGGCGGGAGGTTTAGATCCAAAAATGGCGCGGCTCTCCGCGTAAAGGGGTACACGCACCGCGGAATGTGAGCATTCCGGTTTCGGCAGGGTACCGCGTAAACGTGGAAACGCGGAATGTGGGACCGCGTAAAGCGAGGGTATTTTTGAGGCGTTAGGCTGCCAGCATAAAAATTTATGGCTAGTGAAAAAGTATTTTAACTTTTATTCACATGTCTAAAATGAAAGGTAATGTGTGTGTGCATTTGTGTGTATTTTTCTTTACAAGTTAGACAGACAGCAATTTTCATAAATGTTCTATAAAGTACTTTTTAAAGGTTTAACAAATGATCATTCAAACAACTAACACTTATCAACTTGAGAATTTTAAACATCAAACACATAAGTGACATTTAAAAACTAGTAAAATTCTCACCTCATTGGGAATATATAACACCCATCCAAGCTCTCCAGTGTGGGTAATATTCATAGCTCGAATGCCGTTGGTAAGGCCTACATCTATCTCTTTAAATGAGAAGAAGGGGAAAGCCTTTGTTGAGAGGTCAACATCTGTTAGTTCGGACAGTACCTGTCGTGCCAGAGGACCTGAAATAATTATCTTGATTGAGAAAGATACCATGTTATTAGACTGTAGAATAAATATGAGCAGAAAAGAATGAGTACTAAGGATTTTATCCAATCCCAAAAATTAAAAAACTAGCTACATACTTTAAAAGCATATACTGTACGTACAACAGTACCATGTTGATGATGTAGGATGGTACAGTTTGGAGTGGGATTGGACAAGTTTCTATATCAGCGTGTGTCGAGTGTGTAGAATAATTGAACAGTATGGCTGCCCAGGCAAAGATAAGAGCCTTGTGATGTGATACTCAGGAGTAGTCTGCCCGCGAGTGAAGGTGGTGATGGGTGGTTCCTTTAATTTTCAGGCAAAATTTAAATTTTTTTTAAGACGATCTAAACTATTTACACTATTTTCTTTGTATGTATAGAGTGGGGTATGAAGATACAGGTACCCCTCGCTTAATTAATGGGTTAGGCTCCTAGAAATCCATTCATAAAGTTAATTTTTGTAATGCATCTTGAAAAACTGAACAAATAGGAAAAATAGGGTTTGATTCCCCAACAACAAGAAAACTCCAATATAATACAGTACCCCCAAATACATGAATTCGATTCATGACCAAAAAAAAAATACCCATCTAACTGACAAAAAATAGTACCCATCTACAGTAAATTATATACTACCAGACACAGACACAGTAAAAAAAATAACATCTAGATAAAAATATGTAGGAACACCATAAGGAAATGCAAAATCAATGTTTAACACAACTGCCATTTGCATAAGATCTAGCCATGTGGCCTCAAAGCTGTCATAGCAGCTCAACCCAGCTGGGATGCTGCCTCTGCTCCCCCCTCCAGCTCCCTCACTTAGCGTGCTAACTCTTGCACCTAGAGAAATGTTTAGTCCGGACCACCCGAGAATCCAGACTTTTCGAAAACTCAAACTATTTTTTTTTTTTTTAAATTTAGCTGGCTTTTGTGTGTATGTGTGCATGCATGTGTGCCACAGCTGCACAGCGTCAACAAGCGACCACACGGTCGCCACTTTAAAACAAGCAATCAAACTGTGACAACGTACCGTATATACTCGTGTATAGTTCGAGTTTTTAGGACCAAATTTTTAGGCCAAAAATTAAGGGTCGTCCTATACAAGCGTAATAGTTTTGTTAGGTTGAACCCGTGCATGATGGGAAGGGCGAGGAGCAACTTTTAGCTTCAGACATGAAAAATATTTACCATTTACTGCCGGTAAACAATGGTAACGTAAAATATGTACCAATTAGTAATGAAAAGTTGTGCAGTTCCTTCAGCAAATGAAGCTCACCAACTTACAATAGGCTAAATTACCTTACAACGCGCTTTCAGTAGTCTATGTTGAAGTTCTTAGCACAGGCTAACTTATCTTATCATATACAGTATCACAGTTCTCATTGATCTACAAAAAATACCGGGAATAAAAACCTTTTCTAGTTTTCACACTTAATATAATACCCGGTAATCTACTTCAACCTCCTATTGTTTACAACGACGCATCACGCACTACCAGCTGTTGAGTGTATCAGCTAGACGGTACACGTGTTTTTCGAATCGTTTTCAGTTAAAAAACTGTTACATCACATGTATATTTTACCTTAACTGTGCCTGAATGAATATATACTCGAAAATAAATAGTAGTTTTGCTGAAACTTGATGTATTTTAATGTAAAATAGGATAAAATACATGAAGAAAACATAAGATTTTACCTAACCTTCCGATGTTCAAGAGAAGCTACTCGTTTTTTTTATAGTTTTTGGTTAAAATATTGTTATATTACAATGGTATTCTATTCATACTGTGCTTGATATAATGCATTCACGGAAATGTAATATTTTTGCTGAAATGACGTACATATTACAGTGGAAAGTGGGATAAAATCGTGATGAAAACAATGACTTTTGCTTTCTTTCGTTCAAAAGATGTTACCGTAATCGCTTTTCGATTGGTTTTCAGTTAAAAAACTGTTGTATTACAATAATATTCCCTCCTAATTGACTTGAATAAATACTTGAATGGAAATATACAATATTTTTGTTGAAACTACCCGCGTTTCAGTGTAAAGTGGTGTAAAGTGTCGTGTCGTAATAATAAATGGTAAACAATTTGCCTTAGGCACTCGGTGTTTCGGGCACGGCGAGCTTCAGTTTAAAGGACGTAGAGCGTTTTTACTGAAGGTTTTGTTGTTCCATTACCCTCAAAAACGTGGGTCGACCTATAAACGAGGAATATCATAAATTAACGATTTCTTGGTCAAAAAATCAGGGTCGACCTATAAATGAGGGGGGGTTATAGACGAGTATATACGGTATGTAATTTTCAGTGGCGTGTCGTGAGAAAATGCTAGGGTAATCAAATGACGCTTTCTTACTTGTAAAGTCACGAGATCTAAAAGAATTCTTTAGTAGATCACATACAGTCTGTGATCTACTAAAGAATTCTTTTAGATCTCGTGACTTTACAAGTAAGAAAGCGTCATTTGCTTACCCTAGCATTTTCTCACGACTCGCCACTGGTAATTTTGAGTCCTACTCTTTCCATTTACAGAGTACTGTACAAGCCCATAATAATGGCTCCTAAAGTAGATAAACTTCGTTGTGTGAAGAGAAAGAAGAACACGTTGAAATTAAGTGACAAACTTGAAATAATTAAGAAACTAGAACGTGGTGTGAGCAATACTGTTCTAATGGAAACATACGACATTGGAAAGTCTACAATTTATGATATAAAAAAGGCAAAGAATAAAATTTTAGAATTCACAGCTTTATCTTTAAAACTGCTCGTTTTGATAAATGAAGCATGCTATATTTGCTAATGAATAAACTATCAAAATGTACCTGTTCATCTCTTCTATATTTCTCCTGAAATTTGAATTTTAAAAGTACTGCCTGAGAATCCGGACCGACCCAATCCCCAAGCAGTGCATCTACTCATATACACGGTAAAGTATAATTTTTTTTTTTTTTATATATTTAGCTCATAAAATTCATACAAATTACCAGGCCAGAATATAATTTACATTGCTGGAATTCTTACAATATGATGATCATTTTGAATATAAACATCATGGATTTTGCATTAGACATACAAATTTTAGATCTAATGTAATAAATTGGTTTACACAAAGCAAATATTTTATCTTTTGTGCAAAATATATAAAGTTTACATTCAAAATATTCCCTGACCTGCAAGGAATCCAGAAATGTCAATTATATTATCCTAACTTTAGTCTGAGGTATTATTTATTACTAAAAGTTAAAATCTAGTTTTTTCACCCAACATTTCTCTGGTAGGGAGGGAAGGTGGGGGGTGGGGTGGGAGGGTTGGGACGGACCGACCCAGCTGGTGTGAGTGTGAGGAGGGGGGGAGGCAAGGTGGGGTACTTTCATTGACAGATAGTGTTGTGAAGAATATTTTTTTTTTTTTATAACTGAAGATATTTGTTTTAGCTCATAAAATTCATACAAATTACTCGACCAGAATATAATTTACATTGCTGGAATTCTTACAATATGATGATCATTTTGAATATAAACATCATGGATTTTGCATTAGACATACAAATTTTAGATCTAATGTAATAATTTGGTTTACACAAAGCAAATATTTTATCTTTTGTGCAAAATATATGAAGTTTACATTCAAAATATTCCCTGACCTGCAAGGAATCCAGAAATGTCAATTATATTATCCTAACTTTAGTCTGAGGTATTATTTATTACTAAACGTTAAAATCTAGTGTTTTCACCCAATCATTTCTCAGAGAGGTAGGAGCTAGTGAGCTGGGAAGAGGGGGGGGGGGGATTTGAGTCCATTATTTGAATGGACATTAACCTGGCGACTGTATTTCTCTTAAATATTAATTGTGTGAGCATACCATCATAAAATTTAGATGTTATTTTTACTACAACATAGGTATTGTGTCGGAAAAAGTGGAGTTTGGGGATCGGGCCAGTCTCTATTGGAATTAATCCCATATGTTCTGTTGTTCACTTTACGCGGTTTTCACTTTCCACGGTACCCTGTGGGTTCAATTGACTGCGTAAATCGGGGTACTACTGTGTGTATATATATATATATATATATATATATATATATATATATATATATATATATATATATATATATATATATATATATATATATATATATATATATATATATATATATAAATATATCTGACCTATATGTGGGGGGCATAAAG